GCGAATAGTGAAATGTGCTACTCTTCGTAGGGACCGACGATATGTACTTCTTTTTTCGCTCTTGTACTTCGTACCTATAAGTACAGTCAAATGTACTTCTCCTCAATATTTCGTACTTCAGGAGGTAGATTTTGTAACTAGTTAGCGAAAATTTTGGATCGCTATCGCACTTTTGACGCATAATATAAATGTTTTTGTCGCTAACTGGTTTCAGAATCTCCCCCCAGGTCCTGTACTTCTCCGATCTTCTGGACGATCGTCACGCGGCCTGGGCGATAAATTCGTTCAAACCATTAAAGTCGCCGTGGATCGATGGCTTCATACCTGCGCAGCTGCAAAGGCCTCTGAAAGTGTCGTGCAATTGGTTGGATCCTATTTATGCAAACTGCGTGAGAACGGGATACATCCCCAAGGCTTGGAGGGTAGTCAGTGTTGCGTTCATCCCGAAGGCCGGAAGAGGCGCTCCACTCCACCACCAGTCACTCCAGAGGTAATAGTCAAGCATATTCATAATTTGGGGGGTTGAAACCAACCTAATAAGGCTTATCTACAGCTTCCTTCATGACAGAACTGTCGCGGCGGAGTGGGGTAGCGTCTGCACTCAGTGCAGAGTCATCAGGAGCACTCCTAAAGGTGGTGTTGTTTCTCCCCTGCTCTGGATTGCAGTTGAAACGACCTTCTAGAGAAACTGGAAAAAGTGGGTTGTCGGGTGATCGCCCATGTAGATGAACTTTTGGTTAAGGAACGATTTCTAGACAACCTTTTTGATCTGGTTCAAGGTTACTTGAACCAGGTAACTAGGTGGGCGATAAGGGAAACCGGGTTGTTTCGTGACATAAAAAAGGAAAAGAAGATGTTTCTGCTGCAAAAATATTTTCATAGGGCACTTTAAAACACATTACCTCTCAAGGGCTAATGATGGGGGTTCTGACAGGCAGAATAAAAAAAAATTGTATTGAGCCGACCACTATTCGAGCTAGATAGTTTTTTTTTACTTTTTCTTCAGTGCTCAATGCAATGCAATTTCATTCCGATTTAACAAAAATGCTTTAAAACAGATGTTTTCCCATCATAATTTTCCCTAAATAATATTTACTAAACTTACACAAACAACGCGTGCAGGAAATAGTACACACGTCGTCCATTATAATGATTTTGTGTTCCTTTTAAACTACACACTATACGAATAAATTGAATAGATTTCGTCCAAGGGCCTCAAACTGTCTCACCAGCTCATTCCTTCCGCGGCACTAAAGGCAAATGAGGTTATCTGGCAATGTCGGTAATAGTCAGGGGACTCAGCTTTGTAGTATCTCTTCAACAAATGCGATGGTTCCGAACTATCCTGTGGCATTGAAAATGCCCATGACATTAAATGACGGTAGGTTTAGTGTGAATCAAAGGCAGGTGTTATAGGAAAAGCGCCTACACACGAAAACCACACACGGCCATTGTTCTATGAAGTTTGATAAGCACATTTCTCACGCGATTGACTGAGTGCCTGCTTACCCACTCCACATATGCATTTGTATTTGATGATGGGTCTTATTATAAAGGTGTGAATCCACAGACGAAAGCGCATATCAACCAATTACAACAGACATATAAACATGTAGAACATCATGCCAAATTCCTAAAGCTTTTAGGGCTGGTAGAGTTACCCAACCTTAGGGATATAGGCGAGGCCAACAAGCTGCCTTGATTTTGGTAAATAAAAAGTGCAAAAGGCGTAGTGAAAATTTGTTTCGCTAATAAGTAAAATTAATAATATTAATTTGAACTGGGGTTATTAACTTCGATGATGTAATATGTGGCAAAAAGCTCCGTACTAGTTGTTTACGATTTTTTGGCAAACGAGAACTTCTTAATTAATGAACTTTTGAATAAAGTGTGCGATATGCAGTATATGTATGTATATATTGTTTTCATTGAAATGCTATGTATTAATACCCTACAGATTATTTCGTATTGAAATGTTGCTGAAAGGTTGCAGATACATATTTCTTAAGAGGTATGTTTAGAATCATATTAATGGACCCGTAATGATTCTTCAAAGAGAAGGGCCAATAAAATACAAATTGAAATTCAAAGTGTGTCAGCAATTTTCAAAGGATGGAAAGGTAAAAAAAAAAATTTCAACGGTAAAAAATAACCGAAAGATATAACTCAATTTGAACGCCACTAAAACTCATTGGCTAATTTGTTATCTATGGGTTGAAATACTTTGATTCCATCGTAATATGTCAATTGGTATGTGTAATATATTTTTGTGCAATTACACTCCCTTTTATACGCATAGATATATACATACACCCGTAAATATGTATAAAATAGATAAACTTTTATCAAATCGATTAATTTGCAAAAAAAATTGTAATATTTAGATAAGTTGTGATTTTTTATACATTTTTATCCACCAAAAGAAGGAAAATATTAATTTATCAAACACGCTTTGAGAGCAGTCATTCGAACGAAAGCTACATACGCGGTCGTTAGGTTAAGCACGAAATCAATTTTGGAAATAGGGAAGTAACATATTAAACATATTAAAGTTATAAACCGAACTATAATTAAAAGTGCTACTTACCTAATTATTACAAATTAAGTATATTTTTTTTTAATTTTAAAACTAAAACTAAACAAAAATGGGCTGTTGTGGAGTATTTTTGAAATGGCTGCTATATTTCTTTAATCTCCTAGCAGTGGTAAGTGTTAATGATTATGTAAATACATTTTACACTCAAATATTTGTATACATAACTAAAATTTAGTTTTTTATAACACAGTCCTATAAAAAATCGTATTTATCATTTCGTGGAGTAAAAAATTATATACATAATTGAAGTGCGAAGTATATACGACGCTGCGACTAATCACTTTCGTGTCATCGTTATCGGTATGTAAAACCAGAAATGGTGAAATCGGTCGTTAGTCTTACATATTAGTGGTGCGAAAAGCTTTCCCTAGAGAATACGCTATTCATCAGCCTCTTCATGGCAAAGTCATGACTGATTGATGTTGGGCACCTAGCCAATCTTCAACAGTAGATTATGTGATGGGAACCAGTGAAAAACTCAAACAAAAAAAAAACGTTTTCCTTTAATTAAACAAAACTAATTTCTTCGAAATATACTTTTAAAGAATTGATTCAGAGTTAAGATTTTTTAGTCACCTTTCATTAGATACCAATATTGTGATATTTTAATTAGTTTACATGTTCAATTGATTTAAATTTTTAGAGATAGGTGGCAACCCTATCCACCTGAATCATAAAGGCTGCATTTCTTTATTTATTCTGTACGTTTGGAATAAACTTTTTTGTTTACTTATTCTTTAGAACGTTCCTGATGATATGTTAACGTATATTCCAAACGCATTCTGTTTATTCCGGCTGTGAAATGGGATTATCCGGAATGTATAAAGAAACGCAGCCAAAATGTATAATAGCATCGTTCCTCAACTTTTCTGGATAAAACCTGTGAAACTGCCACAAAGCAAAATGGCTCTCAGAGAAAGAGAAAAAAATCAAAAAGCACGGGAACGCAAGGAATATTTAATAAAGTAGAAGTAAGAACTGGCTTGAACTCTCTTGTAGCTAGTTATAATGTCAAAAAACTTTAAAAAAACAAATTAACCCTTTGAGGTGCGAGTGCTATGTTTGCTACAAATTAGCATAAATACGTACATATACTAATTTTAAGAATTATTTCAATATTACCTTCAGAGAATTTTAATTGCATTCGCATCTTATATGCACGCATGCACAAGGAAAGAAACGAATACGTCATAAAGGAAACCACGCAAATAAAATGAAAGAAAGGTTTAAAACATTTTTTGTTTTTATTTATATATTTAATTCTAAAAAACATCCGGCACTTATAAAAAAATGATTTAATGTTTTCTTCTAAATTTATATGAAGACTTAATGTCCTGATAAAATATTTGCAATGACAGTTGTTAAAAATTACTGGTATCAGTTTGCGTCTGCGCATCAACAGATGATATCGTCACTTCTGAACATTCGTGTTCTTCAGGCATTTCAGGCGCAGGAACCTCCCAGGGAACTAACTGCACCTGGGTATAAACGCATGCGCTTAAAAATATTTATCTGCAATGGGCTAGTAATAAAATGATTCGTGTTGAAATGATTTTCACAGACACGGGAAGAACCTTCGAATTGAACACTGCAGCTATTCTCCCAAGGAAGTTCTCTAACTTCGCAACTAGATGCCTTAAGGTATCGTTCCACTTTAATGTCTTGGCTCTTGCCACACACAGCGCAACGCTCGTAGTTCCTACTCATTTTCATTTTTGTATATCTATAAATGGATGTGGTCGAAAAACAAATAAATTCACACAATTCAATAACTATCTCACAGCACGCAAAGCCAACTTGAAAAGGGTTAAAAGTTATTCATAATTTGACATTATAGTCAGTGTTCAAAAGAAAGAAATGTCAAAATCACTTCTACCTTATTTAATATGCCTTGCGGGAACGGTTTGGGGTAAAAACAGGTAAAACTGTCAAATACACCGTATGCGCCATTTTTTGTTTACACAGCTATTTTTATCATTTGGGGAAGATTAACAAAAATTTATACACTTGATATTTCTTCGCTACGATTTATAATTTGACAAGATTTTACTCGGGTCAAATCTTGCAACATCTGACAAAGAGAGGACCCATTTGTCACCAACTTTGCCAGAAAAAGCGATATTAAGATTTACGTGAGCTAGACCGATTTGAAAATATCTACGAAAATCTCAGTATATATTATATTCCGTTGATAAAAAAATAAAAAATACAAATTTGCAGACTTTTTATGCTTAAACTATTTTATCATTTGCGATGATTATAAAAAACTTGATTATTGTCTTTTTAAAAAAGGTCCAGCTCACATATTTATATATTAATAAATTTTCGAAATGTTTTTGGGGAAGTCGTACAATATAATAAATTTTTTACTTCCGGTGGAAAAATGGTAAATATTTTTTTTTTGTATGGAGACCTAATGTACATACATTTTACACAACTTTTCTTATTATAGATCATTGGCAGCCGTATCCAATAATAAGAACGAATACAAATTTTTTCAGAAGACATTTCATTAGGCGTATCCGTATTTTAACTTACATATTTAATTCATCTTATTTTTAAATTGGTAACAACACTATACTTAAAATCATGTTAGCACCTAACGCTTTCTGTTTAACACCAATGTTGTGATATTTTACTTAAATTACATATTTAACTGATTTCAGTTTTTGAGATAAGCTGCAGCCCTATCCAGAAATATGTACGGAGCAAAAATTTGTCAGATGCCTTTTGCTTTATAACTGCATTTACATGTATCCATATACATTTTTTCAATTTTCAAATGGCTGGCAACACTTTTTCCATTTTTTTTTTTTTTGGAAAACCTTCTGATAGGCATACACATTTTTTTTTGCTAAATGCCAGTAGGCAGCTCTCAAGAGAACGGTCAAGAAAAAATTGGCGATATTTCGTGTGTGTGTCCAAGGAATTTTGACATCTGATACTTCACCCCATGTTGCCTCACTCTGATGTGTGTCTCATCGAAATAGTATCAAAATCCATAGTATGCATACCATGGTGTACAAACCACATGTCTGTCAGGCTATTAGGTGTAAAGTTGCTACGTAGCAATCTAGCACGCATTTTGTTGTTGGAGGAGCAACAAAACATGTGGTAGATTGCTACGTAGCAACTTTACACCTAAAATGCTTTTCAACGTGAGCTCCCCTAATATTTTCGTGTATTTTGCTGTTGCCGCTGATCCCTAGAGTGTTAAAAAAATATTATGCTTTTTCTAATTTCATCGTGAGCCGTGTGAAATATGAACAAAAATTTAAATTGTAAAAAAATCCTGTTGCGACTTTCTTACATGGTAATTTCAGAAGCCTTAGTACATACATTGTAAGATCCAATTAGCAGCATTTATGCTCCAGAGTTGAGCGAACTTTCCAAATCCTGGGTTTTAATTGCTGTTTTTATAAAAAAGGATTGCATGCGAATTCTCGTGAAAAATTATAAACAATATTTGACACTTTAAAGATAAACTAATTAAAAATAAATAAAATCTGCTGCTTTAATAATGTCAAAATATTGGTATGTTAACGTTTTTTAAGCCCCTTTCGTTTAATACTAAGGTTGCGTGCATATTGTTTTTCTGAAGCCCTTTTATAACTGGAACCACCCCGATCGCAGCGCCTTCTAGTTACTGGCTCAAATTAAAAACCTACACCATTTAGGGACCCACTCAAATACGCACACAAAATTTTATCAAAATCGGTCCAGCCGTTTAGAAGTTCAGTTATATATAATGTACCTTAAAATCTTGGAAATCGTGACTTCTCAGTTTTGTTCATTTTTTGGCAACAAATTTACTTACAAAATTACTGTCCAAATTTTTTTCAAGTATACTATGGCCTCAAAAGTTTTGGTATCTAATAGTACAGCTGAGTTTTCGTTTATGTGCTCAGTCGTGAAAGAAGATAAAGAAATTTGAGTAGTTGGCTGCAATTACGTATGTACTACTTACTAGATATTTCAGAAACATGGCTTGTTATGTCGTTAATGTGTATGACTAATGTATTTACGTGCAAATTTATCTATAAATCTTTCGTGATTCATACTCATGTATCTTAATAAGTATTATTTTTACTTCATTGAAATCACTATACATATATAGCACTTAAGTTGGACAAAATACCGCACAGGATAAAAGAGGTACCATGGTCTTTAGAAAAGCATCATCATAAAAATTAGAAAATGCCCATCTCTTAATTTGACAGGACATTAATTGAAACTTTTGGACAATGTAAAAAAAAAACATACAAACATTTTTTGTAATTTGCTGAAATTTTACTCTTATAAGGAGTTCTGCACGGTTATTTCAAAATTGAACCGTTTTTTTTTTGGTACCGGCTACCAATTTTTGAAAAACCCGGGTTTTTAGTGTTGGTTGCCAATTTCGAGAAAAGCGAGGTGGTCATAGCGATTTTTTTTATTACGGATAATTCAAAATTAAAATCGGTTTTTTGTACCGGTTACCAATTTCGAAGCTAATTTTTGCGATTATCAAAACACCTACATATCCGATTTCACCTAGCGCTGGCGGAGCTGACGTGCGGCATATCTGCCCCAGGGTAGTCCGCATAAAATCACAGAGTCTCCAATCCGCTCGTTTCTTGATGCGATATACTCGTGGATACGCTTCCTAAGTAACTTATCCTCAACGCAGTTTCTAGGTATATTACTGTGTCCGGACGAATATATAAGGCTAAGTGGGAAATATTTTGACGCAACCGAAAAAGACGTCAGGTATACTGGTACTGCTTCCTTCCTTCTCAACCACTCAACCATTGAGGCAATGTGAATAGACAATGAAGGGATTAGCGCCAGTCTTCCAATTCAGTAACCTGTGTTATCGAAACTGTGTTCCTAATTCTTACCACAGTTCCTGCTGTAGTCTTAACTGAAATGTCGACGAGCAAGAGTGGCTTAAATTGTCCCATTAATTCAAGTACGGCCGTCTTGTTGCAGCCGCTCCAGTTTCCTTACTAGAGTGTTATTCTCTGGTACATGCAACCAGACGAGGATTCCATGGAAAATTATACGCTCAAACAGTTAATAACTTTGAGAGAAATGCCCCGTCTCTAAACAATTGACCCTCCCTTGCTAGTACAGAAATAGCAAAGCGAATGTCCTAACTACGTGGGAGAGCCGCTGGGCAATAATGCTTCCTCAATCCACTTTTTGGTTGCATGCAGATGGTCTCAACCGATCTACCATTACCGTACACACACTGAGCATTTGATGCTGCGGCTTTGGTTTTGTTATGTGTAGTTTAATCTGCCTTTCCGCTCCTTGTCCAGTTCCGTGCCTCGTCTCTCAGATATGTATATGTAACAAAAAATGCTTCACAATAACGTGTCCTTTAGCCGGCTAATCAAGATAAGGTTGTGCATCCATCCTCTCTTTCCATCATTGAACCACCATTAAGAAAAAAAAAAATTTTTAAAAAACGACTAAGTAGGTAGGTTGTAGGTATGAACGTAATCGAAATTGGCTTCCACTATTTTACTTCTAACCGCAATAAAAATTCCAGCTCGTTGGCATTCTTCTCATCGTTCTTGGCAGTCTCATGCTGGATGGCCTAGGAGAAGTGAAGTCGTCCAAAATTATTGAAAACGTTGATGTCATACCAATATTGATCATAGTGCTGGGTGCATTGATATTCATTGTATCATTTATGGCCTGCTGTGGTGCGATCAAGGAGATCAATTGTTGTGTTCTAATAGTAAGTGCGAGCGCCTCAAAATGAGCCAAATTCATGTTTAAAAATCGCCTAATTTTGTTTTTATTATTTTCATCTAGTATGCAGTTTTTTATGCTCATCCTATTGGGTCTGCAAATCGCGCTCGTTGTTTGGGTTTTCGTGAGAAAAGATCAGTTTCTCAAAACTATGGACTCCATTGTTTACGATGCATTTGAGGACAGAGACGATCAAACCGATAATTCAATGAACTTAATCCAAATCACGGTAAGTACTGATAAATGAGTTAAGAAATGGTTGCTGAATTCTTAATTTTTTTTTACTTTCCCCAAATAGTTCAACTGCTGTGGCTACACTGATTACAAGGATTATAACAGCACAGGCGTGCCTCCTTCTTGCTGTGGCTTTTCTGAAACAACCGCCTCATGTCCATCGTCTATTTACACCACCAAAGAAGGTTGCAAAACGGCATTTTACAATTTCTGGGATGATAATTTGAAATATGTACGATTTGGCGGCATTGTGGTGATTGTCATCGAATTTTTGGCTTTGGTATCAGCATGCAGTGTTGCCGTATACATACGAAAATCATTGAATTCGAATAGGCCAAATGGGGCTTAGTTTAAATTTGAGTTACTTGTTAATAGTCAGGAGATTGCAATTCTTTTTTAATTTGGCTAAGCTAAGATGGCCATCGTCATTGTCAGATAACATTCTCAAAAATTCTTTAGTGAAAATAAAATTCCTAAACTGGAAATTCTATATTGACGAAATAATGCCTTCTTGGTGAGTGTATGCGGTAAAAGACTTTGCCTGCTTTACAACCAGCATAAATTCTTGTAAAAATAAGTTTAATTTTCCGCTTCCCCATATTAAAGTTTAACAGGATATCGACAGAAAAATGCCATTTGAACTCTATGGAACATTTCACGGGTGTGAATACCTGTGCTGGACTGGCCGTGCGTTCCTACGGATAATGATGATCCAATGAAAATACGTATCGTTACAAACAAATGGAATCCAAAGGTCTGAGCTGCACACTTCATCAGCACTTGTGCCAATTTTGTTTTTATGCTTTCGCATACAATTTACACATGGTAATACATCTCTCTGGCCGCTGTGGCTGAGTAGTAAGGCATGCGTAATACTACTCCGTAGGGCCTAGGTTTAATCCCGGGCCCGGTAAATATCTAAATTGAAAAAACTCGCTCCAATAAAAAAAGGACAAAGTCTCGTATGAGACCCTGCCCCCGTTTAATGGCTACCACGGCAAACGTTTTAAAGCACTACGATTTGAGAGCATGCACTTGGATTGTCTGGACCCTTAATGGGGAAGGTGCCTCTCTTCGGCTGGTTGATGTCCTCATAAGGACAAAATCTGACATCTCGCCATCCACGAAATGTGTTGGAAGGGACAATGCAAAAAATGTCTGAGACCTTGCGACGTCTTCTACAGCTGCCATATAAAGGAGCGCAAATTCGGTGTTGGACTTGTAGTAGGAGAAAGACTGTGTAGCGGGGTACTGTCGTTCAACCCGGTAGACAAGAGTGTAACCAAAATCCGCATCAAAGCGAGATTCTTCAACATCTCGCCCATCTGCACCCATGACCCAAAAGAAGAAAAGGAAGGGGCGTCCAAGGATCTCTTGGAAGGTACATACGAGCGTTTCTCACGTCACGATATCAAAATCGTGCGATTTCAATGCCACGGTGGGCAAGGAAGGCATCTTTGGCGCCACTGTCTGATATTTGAAAAGTTAATAAGATCTGCAGAACTGATCCGCTCAGGAACAGTTTTTCCGACATCAGCGGTAAAAAGAACCGCGAAGCCTGTTCTGCCTTTTCCAAGTTAAATTAGGAAGCAAAGCGAATAGGTCTGGTGGTCAACGAGGACAAGACGAAGTATCTCTTGTCATCAAACAAACAGTCAGCTCATTCGCACAGCACCCACGTTACTGTTGACAGTTATAGTTTCGAGAAATTAGAGAATTTCGATTACTTCGGAACCATCATTAACACCGATAATAATGCCAGCATCGAAATTCAACGCAGAAACACTCAGGCAATTAAGGAGTAAAGTTCTCTCTCGACGTACGAAAACCATACCCTATATGTCTCTCATCATGCCCGTGTTGGTATATGCCGCAGAGGCATGGACAATGACAACATTCGATGAGTCGGCTCATGGAGTATTCGAGAGAAAGATTTCGCGGAAAATTTACGGGCCTTTACGCGTTGGCGACGGCGAGTACAGCTGACAATAGAACGATAAGCTGTATGAGCTTTACAACGAATTATAATACAGCGGCGCCGCTGGTTTGGCCATGCCGTTCGATTGGACACCGACGCTTCAGCGGCCCCACTGCTATGGAAAGACCAGGTGGAGAAGGACTTGGCTTCACTTGGCATTTCTAATTGGCGTCAGTTGACAAAGCGGAGAAACGACTGGCGTTCTTTGTTGAACTTGGCCAAAATCGCTTAGGCGGTTACAGCGTCAAATAAGAACAAGAAGTAAAATAGTTTTATCCTCAGAACGAGCCAGGATAAGCATTGCTATTTTCTCGGATTAAGGCACTTGATAAGCATCACCTTTAGAGATTGAGTTTCTGGTTGGCATATCGTTGCATTGATCTGGATGCTAGGTTATATCAGCATTCATGGCATCGAAATGTCCTACAAGCTAATCAAAAACTGGATACTTTAATGGTAGAAGGGGTTCGTGTACCTCTGAGCTATATCAAGGAGTCGCAAAATAAAAAGTGGTTAAACGCAAATGGAAACGCCTACAATAATGCAGCATCTGTAGGGGTTTCCGGACCACCTATGGACAAAACCGACTTCAGCTTTCATCAAGTTGGATAGGACGGATTTGTCTATGCACTTTCTAAAAATCTTGAACACTGCCAGCTGGATTTAAGAATAATAAAAATCGTCTACTAAATATATTATTGCTCTAATTTTTCAGGTTCGATTGCAAGTTGTAGCATTAAAATGGCACATCCAACTAAACAAACAGTAGGCATGACATAAGAACTTTTACCGGGTTTCTCACATATTGCAGGCTTTATTGGAAGTGTCGTGAAAGGATTTTAGTCTCGTCCCGGCCGCAAAATTTTGAAAGACATTCCCGATACCGTCCATCCAGGCCATTTAGAAATCAGTACCGTGGGTCCCGATAGCCTGCGCCCATCTCTACTTGGAATGCACCGGAAGTTCGACCACTTTTCCCACTCTATATTTTTGCATACATTAATATCGAGAATGAACTATCGATATATGGTACGCATCGATATATGGTACGCATCGGTTTGGACTAAGACAAAGACAAAAAGTGTAAATCTAATGCCTGCGACACACATTTGGTATAGAAATTACAATATCAAAATTAAAGTTTGCCGTTGCTAGGTGGCAACTACAATAATTCGTAGTATAAGAGTGGCACGCCTGTGATATAGATTGTAGTATTGATACCATACTACGATGTGTGTCTCTAGCATAAGACGAATAAAGATACCAAGAATACGAAGATGGGTATAAATGAAGACGAATACGAAGACAGCTCGTAATGCGGGTATTCCGCTATCTTCTTGCAAACTCTAGCTGGAGAAAATCTTTATCGAACGGGCAAATATAAAATGGTTTGCGGAGTCTACTTGCAGGATAGCAAGAAATTTCTGGCCTAAGCTGGACAAGCGTAGATCTCGCGCTCTCCTCTACTTGGAGCGACCACTACTCCGACATGTTATTGGAGTTATCACCTGGCATTGCCTGATGGGAACCCACGCTGCTGGAATGGGTTTGCAGCGTACCTATGCCACTGTCCCACTCTGGCGAGGGCTCGTCGACGCTCGTTCCTCCATAATTCTTTTGAATGTTTTGAAGTATCTATGACTTTGCGCTCTTCATCAGAGCTACGAAGTAGTTCCATTTCTAAGGTAAGAGGAGGACCATATGGAGTCCCTAATATGGTATCACAACGGGCCAATGGTGGCCTAAGTGTGTCCTTTTCCTGAGGGATGAGGGCAGCCGAGATAACCTAACCTAGCTTAACCTAATGCGAAGATGAGTATGAAGTAAGACGAATAATAATAATAATAATAATAAATGATTAGCGCTTACACATAGGTTAGTGTTTGGCCGACCTTCTCCTCCAATTTGTGGCGTGCGCCTTGATGTTGTCACACAAAGCGGAGGGACCTACAATCTCCGAACGGCGATTGTATTTTTATGAGAAGCTGTTTTTCATGGCAGAAATACACTCGGAGGTTTGCCATTGCCTGCCGAGGGACGACCGCTGTTAAGAAAAAACCTTTTTCTATATTTTTTTCGATTTTGAGTTGACCAGGGATTGAACCCAGGTCTTGCGGAGTGTAAGCGCGCACTGCTTACCACTAGACCACAGCGGCCGCCGGAAGAGTTTATAAGTCTATTTATTTTGATTGTTTTTGTTTATCGGTCTTTAAATTGTAAACTGATGTCATTTTTATTTCATAAGCTCGAGGCCCAGAGAATACTGTCGACCGGGCACAACTAAGAGTTTCTGAAGATTACCTCGGATTAAGGTTGAAATATCGATATCAAAAATTCAAGAACTAAAACCTGTGTTTTATGTATGCTATTTATTTTGTTAAAAATTGTTAACGTTACTACTTTTCTGTAAAAGCGATAAATGCAAATTTTAGAGTAGGATGATTTTTTACCTAGTTAGAATTTTTAAGGATAAAGGAGTTTTATGTCTTAATCCTGCAATAGAGGATCCCAATTGTAGCTCAAACAGTTGTATATGATGACAGAATAAGAATGCGAAGAAAAAATGGATGAACAATGCCTTTTGGTTAAACTTTGCCCAAGCGAACCGTACGTGTAACGTGGTCAATGTTTTGTGTAACCCAAATTTAATGAGCAAGAATTGTCAAAAACCTAAAATTTACAACAATTGGGTAAGCAGATGACCACTTGCATTCATTGTAGATGACATACTTTCGGAGGAATTTCAAACTTTCTGACACAACCCATCATTAAACTTCCAAATAGTGTAACATAGCCAGTGCACATTCGAATGACTATAACTTTGAAGCCCAAGGAATTATTAAAACCTTTCTTTTACAGATACATAGATTGGGCCGTGCGTGATCATATCATTTAAAAAGCCCAGTTGGTTTTGTGTTATTTAGTGGAAAATTGATTCATAATTTCAATTTCAATTTCAATTTCAATTTATTTGATATCGTATATACATTAGTACATTAAGATTAAATCTTTTATTGCACAATAAGAAATAAAAAGGATAAGAACATTAAATATAGGAAAACAAGAAGATATAACAAGGAATTAACAAATTTTATAGTACTTATAATTGTACAGAGTTATAACAATAACCAACATAGAAAATTTATAACCATTTAAGATGGTTTATTAGAAAAATAATCGTTGATAACACCTTTGAAGTTGTGCTTACGTAAAGAGTTCTTCAAAGATGCTGGCAGAGAGTTCCAAAATTTTACAGCATTAACAAAAAATAATCTCGACGTGTTAAGATAATTATCACCCCTATTCTGCAACTCTTTCGTATTCGGATTTTGCTACGAATCGTAGAAATAGTATGCTGCAATCCGAATCGTATTTTCGAACTTTCGAAATTCGTAACAATGGCATGCCTAAAAACGAACGAGTAAGCTTTTTTGCGTAATTTTGTACGAAAAAACTTCTGTGTCGGAGGCGA